GACTGAACTGAGAAACAAAAATCACATAATAAATGTACATGTACATGTAACTTAGCTAAAGAAAACTTCCCTAGAAATGAAACTAGATCTGTTAAGCACTTGTTTGTATAAGATATGTTAACTGCAAGTCAGTTTTTGCACACTTCTGCTTCATTTGCTAAACTCAATTCACCAAAGGTTGAAGAGCTGCATGAGAAATTACTACAGTCAACTGTTATCATAATAACTAAGAGTGCTATTATTAACATTATACTAATATTGTTAGTATATTTTATGAAATAATAATAACAAGTACACTCAACTTAAATAATAATATAAACAAACTACAAATTAAGAGAGTGATCTAGATCTGTTAAGCACTTGCTTGTACAAGATATGTTAAGCTACAAGTCAGTTTTTGTACACCTGTGCTTCCTTTGCTAGACTCAATTCACCAAAGGTGAGAGACCTGAGAGATAGCTATGGTCAACTGTTATCACTATAATACCAAGAGTGCTATTATGGAAACACTAAAAATAATTATTTATAATGCTGTTAGTATTTTATGAAAATAATAATAACACTACACTCAATTTAATTCAGAATAAAATAATAATAACACAAACAACAAAGAGAGAGCTAATGAATAAGCAATAGTAATATTGCATATGTATACATGTACAAGGTGTCTGTAACATTTAAAAACTTTATACTCAAGAATAGAGTCATACATGTTCATCAAGTGCAGCAGATGGTGATATATAGGAACTTGATGTAGTTGTTGGATTAGGTTTCCTCTTCAACATCTTACGACAAAAAATATTAACAATAACACTATTGATCTCTGGCCTGAAGTAAGCTTGGACAACTGGACTCAAGACAACAGCCAGGAAGAAGAATATAAGGGCTGTAATTCCAAGAACAACAGGAAAATCAATAATGGCTAATAATGTACCAAAGAATATACCAGGAATGAAACATATCCCATAGACCAGTAGCATTGACCCAAATATACCAAACAACCTCTTCTTCTTTGAAGCATAGACACTCTCTCCTACTATCATTGACTGATTATTAATAAACTTACGAGTGAAACAAAACGTCCAAACTGAAGTAACAAGAATAATACACAATAGTAATGAAGCAAGTAAAAAATGGAAAATAGCCATTCCAAGACTGGTGGTAAAAGCATAGCAAATTCCTAACTTACCTACATACTGGTATACTACACCAGATCCATCAATGAATCCTGAAGAATAAAAGGCAGCATTGACTATCCACACAATAATGACAAGGACCAGAGCTACCCTTGGACTCATGAACCGCTTGTGGATATGAGGCTTTACAATAAAAAGGAACCGATCGGTTGATATAAGACTTAGAGTCATAAATATGATATAAGCACAACAGAGTATTATAAAACCATTAAAATCACAGGTTGCTTTCTTCTCCTCATCAGTATCACCAATGATCCACTCACCAGCAGCTAATGCAGCAATGGAGAAAGGAAGGTAGAGTGTCAATACAAGGTGTGCCAGTATGAGAGAAGTAAAGAATATTGTTGATGATTGTTTCCAGGACTTCCTTTGATAAATAGTAATGACTAGTACCACACCATTAGCTATGAGAGCTAATATCATCTCAGTAC